TCCATAATCTTCTAATATCTAATCCAGGGTGTATTTAAATCATACCAAAGTTTCAAAATCAACAACAAAAAATCAAGTTATTTGTCCACTTTTTCAAGTCAACTACAAGCCAACTATAACAACAACACCATAATTCTTATACCTACTTCTCATCTTTTCAATTTTGCAAAGGTTATAAGACCAATTAGTGCAAAATCATCCAAAGCATTACAACACACAATCTTTAGGTTACACAATCGATCACCAATCTAATCTAGTTGTCATCATCATCAATCACCTATAGTAGAGGAAATCAACACAACACAACACCTAGGTCTTTTAATTTACTTTAGTATTTCGAGCATCATTCATGTAACCTAATTCTTGTCCTTTATTTGTGATGTTCATTTAGTTGCTATTTCACTTTCAAAACATGCAAAGAAAAATGGTAGTGACACCGTCACTCGCCATTGACGAGCCATGTGGCTTAACTCATTTAATCCATCTAAGATAGGCTAACGGGGAGGGGGTTTTGGTTTGATAATCAAATTAGGGGAGTTTGATTCCTATTAAAGGAATTTCATTTAGGGAAGAAAGAAAATTTTGGGAGTTTAGGTAACTCGGAAATTTTGTCCAAGAAGAACATGAAGAAGAGAGATTTGGTTTCGAGTTTGAAAGGCTTCGATTTGGTCGGCATATTGAAGAAGGAAAAAGAGCAAGGTTGGGCTTAGCCTTGGCCATGTAAAGATAGTGGGAATAGTCCGAGCTTAGAACGGTCCAAGGCGAGAGAGGAAAGAGCAAGTCTATCTAGTAGGCTAACCTAGTGGGCTTTGTCTAATAGGCTAAAAGCCTACTTAGCCCAAAGGCCCAATAACCCTTATTTTTTCTTACTCTTCATTTTCTTAGCTTTTTTACTAGGTAAATTAATTCTAAAATTTTAATGCATGCCTTTTATTTTTAAGCCTAGTATAGTTTTTTTTTTTTTTTTTTTTGGAATTTTTGAGTTCCTTATGTCTATTTATTTATTTAGTTTATTGCTTAGTCTTTAATTTCTTTCGATAATTAAATTAGGTAATTAATGGATTGATGAATTATTGAGTGTTCTATTTTTTTAGAGATCGATGACAATTCTTTATCAACTTTTTTAAAAAAATGATAAATAATTAAAAAAAATGATAAAAAAGACATGAAAAGAAAGAGAAAAAAAAAAGGAAAAAAAAGACAAATGTAAAATAAAAATTAACAACTATCTTATCCAATATGAACTGATGTTAATTAGTAGTTATGTTATTCCCTAATATACCGATTATGTCGAGACTTAAACTCGGATCCAATGTTGAATTGACAAGATTCTCGAGACGGAGTCCGACGATCGATTTAATAAGATGCCACAAACCAAATTAAAAAAAAAAAAAAATTAACTTAGGTAAAAAAATTTGAAATTAACTCAAAAATATTTTAGAAAAAATAAAACTTTTAGGAAATAAACTTTTAGGATAAAATCGGACGAGGTAACTTTTTTTAGAAAAGGAGCTTTTAGGTAATTGATATATTTCCAAAGAGATAACCAACTTCTTACTCTAGGATCTCTAAACTAATGTTAATTTTAGATTTTTTAGTTTTTTTAATACAAGGTAGAAACTTTAAAACATGGTTTAACTCACATCCTCGGTAAATAAAAAAATAAATAATTTTTAATAGAATTTTTTGGAAGTCTCCTAAACGTTAGGTAACGACACCCATTATAAAATCCATAAGAGAGCGACCCTAAATGTTTGGACATGTTAACTCAAGAGGAGCTTATGCCATGAATTTAGATTTAGCAAAATATAGTTGGAACTTTACTAATACTACAGGCATAACAAAGAGGAAGAGAATTTGAAACAAAAACACTGATATTATTTTGCTGAAGAATTTGACAAACATTCTAGATAGATGCATGACCTAAATAAGCATGCCAAGAGTATAACGTGGCTGACGAAGCTTGCACAGTCCCAGGGGAGGAAGAAATCCGATGTAATGGCAAAGAGTACAAACCTTGCTTATTCTACCTAGTGTGAAGCACTTACTTTGTGTAGATATCCTTAATGATAAAATAATTAGGAAAATTTTCAATAAACACTGCATTATCTTTTATAAAGGAACTAATAAAGAGCAAATTTCGACAAGAAGTAGGCATATACAAAATATTCACAACTCATAAATGTGATCATTAAGAGAAACAGAAGAAGATCTAGTATGAGCGTTTGGGAGTGTTTTATTATTGCCAATGGTGACTTCTTCAAGTCTAGAGTATTCATAGTAGAGAGCTAATTTGTCCACATCAGTTGTGAGATGATGTGTAGCCCTCCGTATGAATAATCCAAGACTGATGAAAGAGGAATCGATAGAGGCAAAGTAATTAGCTGATTTGAAATGGTAAGGTTGGTGATGGTCAGACTTTGATTTTGGTGAAGGACATCGGAAAGCTAAATGACCACTCCATTGAAAATTATGACAAATAATGGTGCAGTGTCCATGGGTACAGAATTACATGTAGGAGTAGAATATGAAGATTGATGAAAAGATAAAAAATAATAATAATAATAACAAAGATAGCGTTACCAAATCGTTTACCACGACCTCGCTGCCCACAACAATGACCACAAAAATTATTGCCACCGCGAGCAAAAAATTGATCAGATGGGGACATTGATATCACTCACAGCTGTATCCATTGTGAGTTGCCGCTTCTCATTGAGTAATAGCCCATAAAGGTCATCACACGGGATGACAACAAAACAAACCTCCAAAGACCAAACAAACGATCTATACACACTGCCAAGTCCTAAAAGAATTATTTCACCATATCATCCTCTAAAACAAGACTTCCAAGAGTAGCCAATTGATCAAAAATAGCTTTTGCTTTCTGCATGTACGTTAGAATATCATCATTGTCACATCAAAGTTGACTAAGTTAAGCCTTGAGTTAATGAACTTGAGTTTTTGAACCAGAAGTAGAGGCATCAATCAAATTTAAACCATGCTTATCTAGCAGTAGTTATGCCAACAATATGAGTTAGGACAATTTCAGACAAGAAGGAAACAATTCAGCTAAGAACTAGTTAGTCCTAATGATACCAAACATCATAGGCTGGATTAAGAATATTATCAGTAAGGGTGGTAGACGGAGGTTCTTTTGTTCCATCAATGTGATGAATAAGATTACGTCCTCTTAAAATGGGAAGAATTTGTGTTTTCCAAAGAAAAAGATTTGTTGAACTAAGTTTGATGGTTTTTTTTATGGGAGAGGCTTTGTGAAGAAAGGAAAGGTAGTGGCTATTATGAAACAATAGTAGCCGAAGATGTTGATGCAAGAATTTCTTGTGTGACTGACATATTTTGAAGGAGCATAGAAAAAGAAATTATTTGATGTGAAGCCTATTACAGCTCTGATACCATGTAGAATACTACAATTTGAATCAATGACACTTAAATAATGTTGTTGTATTCTCGCATAAATAAATTACAGATACATATTTGAATATATTTAAACCGCTAGATAAATATGATAGACTTTTACTCAAAATACAAATATATTATCTTATCATAATGACTGGTATCTTATCAAACCATAGTGGTTTGCTAAGGGAAAAGGGCTAAATTCGTATTAACAAAGGCTATATGTTGTCTTTTCTATTAGATTCGAAAAAAAAAAGTCTATTAATGATTAGATGATTAGTCAAGGGGCACCACTGAATTCCAACAGCCAAGGTTGGTAGAAAAAATTGATATAGAGATTATAAAGAGAGAAAAAGTTCAAAGAGAAGCTTCACTTGCAGATCAGATCCGAGCTCCACAAATAAAAGAACTGAAACTAATACTAGGGAAGCTTTGACAACAACATCTACTCTTAACTTATTTGCTGGAAGTTGAATACAGTGAGCTTAGAGTCACATCCTAAGCAGCAACAGAAACAAAGTTGCATTTTTCTAATTATGACTTTTATCCATTCGCTGTTCCAGCAATCGTCAGATCATGTTGTTGGTAAAGGATGAAGCCTGGGCCTTTATTAGAAGATATCTTCTAGAATTGACACTAGAACTCAGATTATTATAATTATAAATAAAACTAAAGTAAAATGTATAGTTACTATTTATTTACTATTTAAAATATAATTCAATTCACTCATACTCAGATGTGTTATTCACACAAACTTTGATGAACTATTTCTTTCACTATACAGTAATATTTTTATAGTTTTTAAATATTTGTTAAATATTTATTATGAAAGTTTTCGTAATATTACACTTCGACCCTTCTTTCTTGAATATTTTTTTTTCAATCTATAAATATTTTTTTTTTTTTGGTTTCGGTCCCTCTTTTTAGTTTCATTTTGGTCACTTTGGTCCTTTTTTTCATTGTTTTTTTAATAAAAAAATTTTTAAAAATAAAAAAACAAAATAATTTTTTAGCTAAGAATCCATTGGTTTTGATATTTTTATCTATTAAATAATTTTGTTGATAAAAAATTTATGAAAAATATAAAGAATAATTAATCAAATACAAAATTTTGATGAAAAAATTATAAAATTGAATGAATATTTATTTATTTTTGATTTGATGTATCTTAGTAGACACAATATAACACATGACATCAAAATGAAATAATTTTTAAAAAAATAATTTTATGTATTTTATACGACCTCGCAAGCAGTGTAGCGTGGGTTAAAAATCTAGTATATAACTAAGAGTTTTTTTCTCTTCCATGCCACTTGGCAATAATTTGTGCTATATTAATTTGTTTCCTTTCCTTTTTAGATAATAGAAACTCTCTTTCTTTTTTGGACTGAAACTAATTTGCCAATTGTGGCATATAATTAGTGGAATTCCAAATCATCCTTCAACGCAAGAGCTCAGTTGGGCAACATCCGCTGATATGTGTTCAAATTTTGGTATGAGCTAACCTACAATAAAAGGAAAATATTTTAAGAAACAATTCTGTCATCCTGGCAGGAAACATGAACTGTTGATTTCCTAAGATGTAACCCAAAGGCCAAGGCTAAACATGGGGACAACAGTATTGACGAGCGTTTTGTTTGTTCTATTACCCGCGTTTCAAGTGATTTTCGAGAATGTCGTCGTTCTCTTATCAACGTCTGAATCTAAAGTTAATTTTCCAGAATGTCCAGTTCATCTTTACTGATTTCTAGAATATTATCACATTCACGCTGCGTGTCAACATCATCAAGTTCTGTTCATCCAGAGAGAAGAAAAACCAAATGTGGAGATAAGTGGTTACAGGCAAGATCAACATTTTTGGTTTGCACAGCATGCCCTTTCACAAAAGAAAATAATGCATCCGTCAAAATCAGCAGAGATTACCCTGCAGTCTCGTTCAACCCGGGGTTCACAATATCATCTCCCCAAACTAATTTCTTGTACTTTCAAACGCATCCAGCACTAGTTCCTTCCATATACAACGAAAAAGAAAGGCGTAACAGCAATCTAAATGATAAAATTAACTGTAGCAGTTATTACTCTTCAGTCTTACAAAGTTATACACATGTGGCAAGGTTTCAACCATGCATATACTTCCATGCTTTCCGGGAAGGTAGCTATTCTAGTAGTTTGGTGGTCCACCTTGGAAGCCTCCATTGTTAGGCCCATTCTGGAAGTTGCTCGGCATGTTTGCAGTGTCATTGGACCATCCTCCCATGTTGTTCTGCTGAGGCATGTTGTTCGGTGGAGGCATGTTGTTCGGTGGAGGCGTGTAGTTCGGTTGCCCACCCATATAGTTGTTAGGTGGCAGTCCACCTTGTCCACCCATGTCATGAGGTCCGCCTGGTCCTCCTCTGTAGTTGTTATGTGGAGGTGGTGGTGGTGTTCTGCCTGGTCCTCCCCTGTAGTTGTTAAATGGCGGTGGTGGTCCACCTGGTCCTCCCCTGTAGTCATTAAGTTGCGGTGGCAGTGGTGGTGGTGGTGGTCCACCTTGTCTGCCCATGAATTGTGGCTGTCCAGCCACGTTGGGAGCAGGATTTTGCATAGCCTGATTAGCCATAGGAGGTGGAGCTCCATCTCGCATCGTCATGTTTTCCCTTCTTCTGTCAAAGTTTCTTGATCTATCGACATTACGAGGTCGATCATTGCGCCTGTTTCTTTCATTTGCCCTTGCATTGTTCCTTATCCATTCCTCGTGATATTTTGGGTCATAGGGCACAGCTTTCCCGTCAATAAATGGCTCCCCTACAAGAAAAATACCATCAAGGAACAATCATGTACAGCATAGTGTCATGATTAACTAATACAAAGAATAAACAATAAGAATCATGACTTAGGGTTAAAAGAAGGCATTGGAACTTATTTTTCATAACCACAGTTTCAAAATAAAAGAAAAGACGTAATTCATTGACCCATCCCTAATGTGTGCAGAAATGGACCCAAAGCCTAGCAGCATGACAAAATAATCAGGGTAACATAATCTGCATCCCTTATCCCCTACTAAGAAAAGGCAAACATGCAGCTTTCTTCGTGGAATTACTTTTAAAATGAGGGTTGTGAAGATATTTTTAACAAGAAAATGCAGTTGTTTGACACTGCATCAGAGACAATTTGGCGAGACACAATCCTAATGAAATTTCACATATTTTCATCCTTTTATTTTTTACCGAAAAAGAAGAAGAAGACTCAGCCACTCAAATTCGATGGCTACATAGCAAAGTTAATCCTGGAAAATATTGCCCACAAAACTCCAGTTATGTTACAAAAGTTCTAATATAATCCTCATTTGGTCAAGGTCTAAAAGGGTTTCAACTGCATCCAACTTAAAAAGAATAAGCATCAACAGACAAAAATGATAGAATAAGAGGCAAAATATCCAAAATAATTTCTTGGTGCCCATCACATTGAAGCCAGAAGTTTCTTTAAAGAAAAAAGAAACTCAAAGAGATGCACACAGTACTTTCAATTACTCGACACAATAAAACATGCATCTACATCAATATAAACTGGTATAGCATACAAAGTGACAGAAGAAAAAGGCTCCTTACCTCCATAATCTTTGTTCTTCACATCTAGGTACGAATCCGGAAGAACCCAACGGACATTTTTCAGTTCTGGAAAAGAGACCAATAGAACACATCCATCACGTTCAAATTTCAAAAAAGTTAGCATCATAAACCAATTGCTTCAAAGAAGCAGCCAATATATATATATTTTTTTTCCAGTTATAAATTAGCTAAAAACACTTGAACATGCTTTAAAAAGACATTAGGAAAAATAAAAGTGAACAAAGTTTCCCATTTCAGGTAACCTATTTTTCAGTTTTTGAAGAAAAGGGACCAATTTTCATCTTTTTAAGGTGAAGGAAATAATTTTATATTCTAGGAAACATGTAACAAGGTTAAGAAAACATAATTTAAAGATCAATCTGAAAGTTTTTTTTTTTTTTGGTTAAAGTGGTCCAAATGCATGATATTATTGATGGGGAAGGCAAACGGTTTTCATCCTACGGAAGGCCAGGGCCACCCCCAGCTCCCCTTTGCATTTGCCCCTGCTTAAAAGCAGATATACCTTTGATCTTGTACGAAACCTCTTCAGACACCAGAGCTCCAAAGGCATAATAGCATCGAGTAGAAACTGAGTAGATCTTCTTCCTCGCTTCTTCCTCACTGTTGTAGCCACAAACAATTATATGATCAAGACTCCACACATCACAAAAACCCATTTCCTTCCAGATTAATTCGGTAAGATAAAACCCATTTCTTTCCAGATTACTAAGTAAGACAGACACGTTTCTACAGCAACCCTTACACTAAAAAACACAGAAATGCTAAATACAAAATGTCAAAATTAAAAGCAGCATGGAAAATCCAAACGCAAGTAGAACACTCAGCTTGCTTTAATCTAAAACCCCAATCAGATATTAAGCTACAAAATACAATTCCCATCAAAATCAGATACAGTACGATTAAGCAATCAAGATTATTGCTTCTCCAAGAAGTATAATTAAAATGCACTCAAACCCCTCTAGCAATTGGTCAGGTACAATTCATAAACCACAAGCAATCTTACCAAGCACAAACACAAATTCACATCATAACCAATCATTAAGAACCCACAGAAACCTAAGATCACGAACACACACAAGTAAGCCTGAACATACCCTCAATCATAAACAATCAAATATAACACATAAATACACTAGAAAATGACTAAACCAATTAACTTCAATAGAAATGGACTAAAAATAAATCAATAGAAAAAAATGATTGCAAAAACCGAATATCAACATTTCATCCACTAAAACTAACAATTAAAAAAATCTTAAATCAAATAAAATTAGAAAAAAAAAACTATTAAATTGAATGAGAAATGAAATTAAGGTATAAAATTAAGCAATTACCTGCCAACAATTTGAGCAAGAGTTTTAATATAAGAATCGATGATCTCGTCACGAGTTGGATCTCCCTCAGGCTTATCCATAACGACAAGCCAATGCTCGAAATCGCAGCCATCAAGCAAGATAGTCTCTTTTGGAGGCCTATTAGACCAGTTAGGGCTTGGGTCGTTGAGGGAAGACGACGTCGGTTGGACAGCAAACGACCTGATTGAAAACCGAGAGACAGGGAGATTGATGTTGGTTGCAGCGGAGAGGGGACGGAGAGCACGGCGGAGGAGAGAGGAGGAGGAGGTAGTGTAGGTGGAAGTGATGGAGCGAGAGAGGAAGGAGGAGATTAGGGTTTTTGATGTGGGATTTTGGAGGAGAGAGCGAGTGAAAAGCGAAGTCGCCATTTTTTCGGAATGGAGAAACCCTAACAGAAACGAGGGAGAGGGTTTAGATGGGGTTTTATTGGGGAGAAAGGGTAATGCCCTTCGTTTTTCATAATGGCATTTTGGGGATGTCAAAATTAAAATATCTTCTGCTTCTCCCACACCACACCGCCCCCGTGCTACTGGTCTATTCATATGTTTTCCTTTTTCAAGGGGGAAAAAAAATAGTTTAGGTTGTAAAAGATTAAAAGTCATATCATGGCCCCTTAGGTAATTAGCTTACGTTTCCAATGCAATAATTAGAAAAATTTCAGAAAATAAAAAGGTCTGAAAATAAATGTCAATTCCATTTTCTAAAGGAATAAAAAATTAATTCTTGTATTTTTAGATAATAAATTTTATAATAGAAGAAATTATGGTAGCTTAATTCGTTGTTTTTTACGAGCTTTTGAATTTCCTTTCCTTTGATTCTTATTTAACAATGCTTTTATTTGTTTACCGTGTAAATTTTTGAAATTTTATTATTATTATTATTATTATTAGTTTCATAATGATATTTTGTGATTAATTTTCATCGTGCCCATTATTTTAACAAGTGTTATAAATTATATTAAATAATTATCAAAATAGGTTTCAAAAAGGCCCGGATTTGTTATCTAATAGTGATGTATGTATGATGAAATAATCATTGTTGACCTTGAAGGTTGATGCCGAGTTCCGACTAAATATGATGTGTATGTGTGGTGAAATGATCAATGTTGAGCATAAAAGTTGACGTCATGTCCCGACTAAATGTGATGTGAGTGTGTGTGGTGAAATGATCGGTGTTGACCTCATAGGTTGACGATGTGTCCCGACTAAACGTGATGTGCAAACAGGTGTGTGTGGAAATGATCGGTGTTTGCCTCGAAAGGTGGATGCTTGGATTTTGACATGGTCGAGTGTATTACTTATATATGTGATGAATGAAATTATATGAAGTGGGTTGAGGTCGTTATCGGTCTACCAAAATTATTTAGCTTAAAACCATAGCAGGTTTTTCGATTATATGGGTCAAAGTCATGGTAGACTTCCCAATTCCGTGATATTGATTGAAGTTGTAGTAGACTTTCCAAAGTTATATGGATTGAAATTGAAGTCGTAGTAGGCTTTCTAAATTATATGGGTTGAAATAGTAGTAGGTTTTTCAATTATGTAAGTCAAAATTATCGTAGACTTTCTAATTGTGTGATGTGGGCTGAAATCATAGTATATTTCTCAAAATTATATGGGTTGAAACCATCAAAGGTTTTTTAATTATGTGAGTCGAAGTCGTGATAGACTTCTTAGTTGTGTTATGTAGGTTTAAGTCATAGTAGACTTTCCAAAATTATGTAGGTGGAAATCATCGTAGGTTCTCCAAATTTATGTGAGTCGAAGTCATGGTAAACTTCCTAATTATGTGATGTGTGTTGAAGTCGTATTAGGCTTTTTGAAATTAGGCAAGTTAAAACTGTCAAAGGTTTTTCGATTATTTAGATTGAAGTCATGGTAGATGTCCCTATTGTGTGATGTAGGTTGAAATTGTCATAGGTTTTCCAAATTTATGTGGGTTAAAGTTGTTGTAGGTTTCTCAATTGCGTGTTGTGAGTCGAGGCCGTTAATGGTTTTCCATCTTAAATATTTCCTCTTCTTTTACTTTAAAGTAGGTAAATGGGCATTCGACCGGCCTAAATTCTTAAACTACTTGATCAACCTACCCTAATAGAATAGATTTACTCGAATAAGCATAGATAAATAGCATAGTAAGAACAAATTTTGTTATTCAACATGTATGCAATACGGCTTAACTTATGTCGTAAGACGTGGTGGCGACGATTTCAATCTTTTCCACTCATAGCCAACCTCTTACCTAGATTTCTACATAGTGTCATAACCCAAAATTTGAGTTATATTTTTTTAATAGTTTTTTAGCTCTTTTCATATTTTATTTTAGTTTATAGGTTTAATTTTATATATTTTATTTCATAAGAAAAAAAATCAAATCATTTTTATCATTTTAATTCGTCTTTCGTTGTATTTTATTTATTTATTTATTTATCCTATTTTACTGTTTATTTATTTATTTGTCTTATTTTATCCTTTTATTTAGGTGTTTTTTTTTTAATTTTAGTCCAAGGGTACAATTGAATGAAAATTAAATATAATTAGTGAGAATTAAGGACATAATTGAAACAATTCAAAATGCTCGAAATTGAAATTGAAAGATATAGGGACTTGATTGAAAAAAATAAAAGCACATGGACTACAATGAATGCCTAAATGATACAATTGAAAAATCACTAAACCGAAAAGGACCTAAATTGACACAAGACACAAATGACATGATCAATTAGGAATCTTCCGAAAGACTTGTCGTTTGAGTCTTCCCAAGCATGCTTGCTCCCATACTTCACCATCATTTGGCATCTTTCATCTTCATCAATGAAGCTAATAGACCGGAGGGACAAACCGACTAACTTACCCTTGTACTTGCACCATTTGCATGCACAAAACGCACTAAAACACACATATAAATCGTCGTTTTGGCTTTGTTCATACAGAGCCAAAACTAACAACAAGCTTCGGATGGTTTTTTTTTTTTTATGGAGAGATTGGATTTAAGGGAATTGATCCCAAGGTTGAAGACAATAGACTTCTAGGTATAAATAGTGGTCGAATTAGGGTTTCAAAGGGCGAATTTTAAAAGGAAATGGAATTGAGAGGAATTTGAGGAATTGGGAGAGGATTGAAAAAAAAACTACAAAGGAAATTTAGGAATGTCGGAGAGAATTTTATAGGAAAGGTAGAGAAAGGAATTTTGGGAGATTTTAGAGGGAGATTAGGGTTTTTTTATTGGTTTTTTGATGCAAAGGGACTTCGAATTCTTCTTTGCTTGCTAGGTGTAGAAGGCGGGGAGGATTTTAAGAGATTTTTTAGGAAGGAAATTTCTAAGGTTTCTATTGGGTTTCAAATAAGGATTTAAGGATTTCATTTAGCTTTGGGGTTACCAAACGGATACTGGGTTTTATTTTCCGGACTTCAATAAGAAAAACTATTGAATTACAATATTGATTTTGGTTTCTTGAAAGAACACTTCTCACCGATTGAAGCAAAGGCAATCTACTACAAAATCGCTCACTTTCAAGCCAAGCTCCATCAATTGACACCCAAGTAAGATGCTCTACTTCTTTTGTTGATTTTTAACCCCAATTGCCTTGATTTAGTCGTAAATTGGTTCAAAAATAAATAATGGCAATGACTTTATCACTATCATCATATAACCTCCCACTACCCTACATCCCTTCACGTGTCCGAGTTCATGAGGTGAGGGAGAAGAAAGGTTTAAAGGTTCAAAAGAGTTTAGTTTAATGGGAGAGGGAACTCGTTGATTTTGAGTTTTAACATAAAGGATAATGGGTTGAGGAAGAAGAAGAAGCTTAGGGGTTCTAGTTTGAAGATGAAGGAAATGAGATTAAGACATTGTGATGTTTCGGTTTGGGTTAAGAGAAAAAAATGGGTTAGGTCTAGTCCAACCCATGAGAAAAAAAGAATGGGCTAGGTCTAGCCCAACCTATATGGAGGGAGGAATGAGTTAGGCTTAGCCTAGCTTTTGTGAGAAGAAGATAGTGGGTTGATCTTGTGTAACACCCCAACCTAAGACCTAATAAGTTGAGAATATTACCGCAATTAATCTACATTCTAAGTGCAATAAATACAAGCTAACAAGGTACTATGACCTTTCTATAGTTGATTTAAGTGACCTTACGTTGTGGAAGTTCTTTAATAACGACTAGTGTCCTATATCTAATTAAAAAGTCGTTATAAATTTTCACGTCTATTCGCTTTATTCAAATTCATGCATTGCATTGATGTACTCGTGGCTATTTATTATGGTGATTCTTTCCTTAATTAATTATTGTGATTTATTTAGACGTAAGTCCATTTTTATCAATATTATTTTATTGTTTAGTTTTCCTTCCTATTTCATTGTTCTCTTTATCTAATACGTTCTTAAGATAATTGCTTGAATTTCTAACGAGTGCTACCATGTAGTGGATAATTTAAAGTAACTATGCTACTACTGCTATATTACTATTTTATTATCGGTGGTTCGATTACATACAAGATCGATTTTATGCTAACTAGTACAAAATTGGCTTATTTACTACTATGTCATTGCTACTTCTACCCTTTCATTTATTGATTCATAGCTTTAACTACTATATAAAAAAACATAGTCATTGTTATAAAATAAACTAGAATCCCCGGTACCATAAGAGCCACCGTATGTATCAAGTCCATACGCCAACCACATCCGACATATACACGGTGAAGGCCATCTTCGGTAGTCAATTCAAACGTTAGGAACACCATTTCTACCTTGGTCCGCTACTTCATAAGCACATTAATAAGCGACAACACAGTAAAATAATTAATGCATGTAATGTATATACGGGTATAAAATACCGACATATGCATAGTAAATTTCTTTTTCCTCATGTCATAAAATGTTTCATAAAGCGAGTCTAATTTTTTTTTTTTTATCTTTGGACATGTCCCATTTAGGTACTCCGGGGTTTCCATAATATATGTCCAATGATCCGGACTCGTCTATGGACGTGCCCTACCGAGTCTCTAAAAGTGCATGTCCGCACTTACTCGCTCTCCGAACCATTACCATTACTCGTATGGAGAATCCATGAAGACCATCTTCAAAGAAATCCTCATAAGTCATGAAAAGTCTTTTTCCTTTAAAATAATTTCGATTGCTATCGGAAAATCATGAAATGAAGTACATTTTCATTACTTAAAACACCTTTCATAACATTGGCATGCTTATTCATTTTAAATGAAATGCATAACTAACATTATTTATAAATGCATGCCCTAAATGGTCGTGTAGCCATGTTATGAAAATATACATAAAATTGGACAGACATAATGGCATAAATAACGAGCATCCCATATAAATCACTTTAACCATCACATATTACATCAAT